TGGGTGTAATGTACAACTTTGCACTAAATAAACAGTTTATACAGAGCAACAGTTAATAAATTGTCAACATCAACTCCACCTTGGTAAAATCAATATACTTATTATCATACTGTAAATTGCCTGTGGAGTTCCATTGGAATTTGTAAACACTTTAAATGATTTTGTGGTTTCAACAAAAACCATTATCAGAAATCTACAAATTTTTTCCCCTAAATGTACCCATAAAAATAAAACTGTTTTTTACTTGCATAAAAATATCTAAACAGCGAATACTGGCCCATAAACATCGTAAAGCTATGAATGGAAAGCCTATCTGAGTAATTCATAAAATAAATATTGACTCCCAATCGATAAAAACTGGAACTCTGTTACTTTCAGACTCTTCCACTTAAGCTATACATTTTATCTATCGACAAAAAAGCCACACATTGAAAAATGATAAATTTTCAAAGCCAGAAAAGCCGCTTAAAACCAAACGTCAGCATTTAAGCTTTAGCTTACAGATGAAATGAACAGAAATGTTCATTGCTCGATGACAAAGTCCAAGCTTTAATTTAGTGCTTCAAACGAAAGAAACTTCGATGGCCCTTATCAGATGTTAAGCCAGCTTCGTGGATGGTTCAATTCGCCAGGGATATTTTTTCTCGACGGTGAGGTTACAGTGCAACTCACTGCATAAAAATGACATATCAGCTATACTATTGTGTAACGCTGCATGACGTTTGGCCTGTTTCTCAATAGCAAGAATAACCACGAACTGGGAATAACGGTTGAATTTCGACATTTTATGATTTCAGAAATTCTTTCCCTCGCCAAAAAACATTTAAGATTACCAATGTCTGTTACTGTCTGGGAAAATAAATAACTCTATTGACCATCGATTCGCTACCAAAAGGTTGTTTTACGACCGAAGCTTGAGAAAAGCAAGCCTTATTGCTACATGGAAACTTAGTGTAAAATACATGTTAGTTCAGTACAAAGACCATCTTACTAAAGAATACTTAACGGTTATCATTAAAAACGTAAGCTTAAGTTTATTTAACAGTAATAATCTCAAAGATATTAACTTGAACAAAGCAAAGAGAATTAATTTCGCCGGCCGAGAGACTTGTCGAACTAAAGTATGAGAAAGCTCGAAACACTACTGTGTTCCGTTCCACGTTAACCCGGGACAACTTCCGCTATCATCTATCGCAACCACAAAAGGGACAACACTGAGCTTTTACGATATTTTCTCTCGCAAGTCTCACCGACAGATGGGGTAATTTCCAGTTAAGCTTAACTCCATTCCTTTCAGTGATCCAACTCACCAAATTAACACTTCCGAGGTTACGGTGTTCAAATTAGCTTTTACTGTCGAAAATGTCTGGTCACTTCCACTTACCTTGATAAGCCTAACCGTAGAACCTTCCTTGACTTTGGAGTAGACTTTTGTTCCCTGTTTATCGTACTGTAGATTCCATCCATCCTCGCTCTCCGCCAGCCGACGAAAATGGTCAAAATCGTCTGCCTTCGCAGCTCGGACCTCGCCAAGTTGCATCGAATCGACAGGTTGAACTTTACCCACAACCAATTATCTTTCTTCAACGGTGGCTCGACTACTTATCGCAAAGAGGAGAGATTCACTTATCAAGGATAAAATGAGTTGAAAACTTGAATAAATTTCAAAGATGGTTGCCAAAACTGACTTTCCCTTCTCGACCAGTTGTACGCTTTTGAGCGAATTCTCGCTACGGTAGATATCAAAACGTCACCCAGAACACTGAATGTGTGATTAGATGACGTAACGCATTTCATCACGTAAACCAATCAGAGGAAGAGTTCGTGAGAAGCGGGGTAAAGATCAATGCACGTGGGCAACGCGCACTCAAGCTGAGCAGTTTATTGTAAGGATTGACTTGTGTGGAAAATGTTTCAAATTTCAACAAAGACTCTAACAATGTCTAATAGATGCTAAAAATACACGGAAAAAAAAGCTAAAGTAAAAATTGCGTTGGCTGTGGTGGGCTTCCGTTGCAAACCACAACTGTAGGAGGTGATTGAAGGTTGCTATGGTAATTTTTACACGGGTTTAATATGTCACCCGCGCAGGTGCACGTGCTCGAGGCAAATTCGCGCGATTTTCTTTCAGCAAGAGATATGGTGGAATTAAGAATTTTTTTCAGTCCATTAGAGTCTTAGGGTATTAAGCTCCCTTCTTTAAACTCCCCATTTTAGGAAGCCCCCTGATCCTGACTCAAATTGCGGTTTAACGCAACCCTATTTCAAAGACGATCCCTAGATTATTGACAAACAGGAAGACAATAATTTTCATGCAACAATATATTGATGAAGAGTCTCCACATTTATTTGTTATTTTTTACATTTCTTCTTTAGAGGTGTCTTGTTATAAGCGAATCTCATTAATTACCAACAATGTCTAGCCATCATTTCTAGTGAGACTTTTCTCTCTATGATAAGCCTTCGGTCAGGTCTTGATCAGAGTTTTGATAACGAAATGCGTCCCTTGGCCTTGGAAATCAAGTGCTTTAATGGGGAGTTGTTATTTCGGAGCTGGATGAATCTCATTTTTTTAATGCGAGCCGAAATCCTCGTGTTGATGAAGCTTTCGTGGAAATCATGAAATAAATTACTCGGAAGGAAACACATTTCAAATACGAAGCTTCTTTAGTATAATAGTTATGCTCTATGAAAGTGTGGGACTGATTTTTCTAATGCACCTTTGATTTGTTGTCTCGTCGTCAACTATCACTGATATTCTTTTAATTATCACATTATGTACATCTCTTAATTTTTTTCAGTCTCACAGTAACCGGATACTAGCGTCTTCAATATATTGCTGAGTCAAGTTTTGTTAAATAATAACCCTTAAATTTACTAGACATCACTAAATTTCCTGCCGTGCTGGGACTGAATCATCACTCGAGTAATAAAGTTTAGGACACTCTTAAGTGGTTCATGTAAGCGCAGGGAGAGGGTAGGGAGAGAAGGAGGGGTGGAGAGGAGATCAAGTATGATGTAATGAAAGGCAGGGGGCTGGGGACGGTTGTAAGTATGGGCGGCAAGGGCGCGACATCTTTAGAGGGATTTTAATGTGGTGGGGAGGAGAATTTGTTTGCATGTTTTCATAGAATGCACTAGTAGATCGATTGATCAGAATATTCCGCCCTTTTTGAAAGGCGGACGAACTTAACTAAACTTGTTTTCATACAGCTACATTTAATAACGTTTACCCATCCACTAAACTGATTTTGCTGAGCATAGAAGGGATTAGAAGAATTGATAATTAATGTGACAATACTTACTTAGGCTAACACAACACTTTGTCAGTTCATGAACTATCTCGAAACTTAGGTCTGAATTATAAAATAATTGGATATATAAATAATAAAAGACTTCAGAATGACTGAAGTACCAAAATAGCTTCCTACTGGTGTCAGTAAAGCGCGTGCTTACACAACCGACTGGCAGGCGTCCTTTGTAAAGGGTGCGCCCGTTTGACATGGCATGAAAAAAATCTGTGGCAATATGATTTCCTTTTCAACTTCTCTGAGTAATCTGGCATTTTTCATCAATAAAAAAAATGAAGGGGCAATGGTTTGGAAAGCGTCCATGTTCTTTTGCTGTATAGATTCTTATACTCGGTCTCCCTCGGTTAAATTAAGCTTTGCGTGTTTCTCGCGCCTATCGATTTAATTCGTGACCGTGTTCGTGCTCTGTACTGTTTCCCGCGTGCTATCGATTTAATTCGTGATCGTTTTCGTGCTCTGTACTTCCCGCGTGCTACCGACCAAAAGTTCCGCTGAATATTGACCGTTCATGACAAGATGGATGTGACCACACTATCTGTGCTTGCACTTCAGACCTTGATAAACAGAAAAATATAATTATTGGGAAGACCTAGTAAGGAATACATGAAGTGTAAATAATGCCATAACTCAGATTGTCAATACTTACTTGAGCTTGTATCACGGCTATTTACAGTTTGTTTGATAATACTAGTCTTCTTTTCACTCCAACCCGATATTGAGCTGCATCAATACTTAGGAAAACATGTCACTTCATTCATGAACACCTGTTGGTGTGAGAGAACAATTCTCGCCTGTCAGTGCACCTTATGGAAAGCCAACAAAGTGGTTTACTGAGCATAAAATAAGCAGGGAAGTTTACCATCGAATGTGTTCGCTTCCAAATTATTTATGAAAACTGAATCAGTAAAGAAATATTGTTTCCTAGCTGTTTTAATTGGGAAGCAAACCGAAAAAGTTTTAAACACCTTACTCTAATCCTTGAAGACAAAGCATTAAGAATTTGCATAAGATTACTATCAGCGACGTTAGCATATGTAGAAGATAAGAAGTCTTTTCCTTAGGGGGCTTACCCAAACATTCCCAAGGGGATTTAAAATGTTATTTTTTTTTTTCATTTGGCTTTACCCAGAAATAAATCTACTCCAAAACTTTAATGTCCAGAACCAACATAAAGTAAACATTTTACAATGCGTGTGCCGTGTCTTGAACAAGATTGTAATAATTTATTGCGTACTATTCAAAAACGTTCCAGTGTCTTGAGAAGTCTTGACATTTTCTCTACTCAAATTGAAATGTTTTTGTTCTGATCAAAGCTGGAGTTTCTTGAAATAAAAAGCCTTGGTGAAATGATCCGCATTAAATAAAAAGAATGTGTATTGCGTAGAAGCAAAGGATCAAAGACTGAAAGAATAGTAAGTTAATCTAATGGACACGCCAAACTGTAAAACCACAAAATCGTTTGTAAGCCAATCTGAAGTGGAATCCGTAACGGAAACAAACCATCAAAACCGCGGGAAATGTCGCGTGCTGTACATCATGATTACTGTAACGCCTTCGCAAACCAATTGCACGATTTCCTTACAGAACTTTCGTAAAAACCGGTAAAATAACACGGTTCCGCATGGCTTCGCTGCATGGACTGACTTGAAGTCATTTCCCTCTTCCCAAGTCAGTGAACCCACATCTATCTTTTGGCTTCATAACTAGGAACTTTATTTTACTCTGTTTGTGTCACACGCGAGCATAATTTAATAGAAAACTCTTCAACAGCGTCACGTTTATGTCACTTCATAGCACCATGTGGCTTAATTTATATACAATGTTTTAAAGCGAAAATAAATTACATATAGCTAGCTCAATTTATACAACAACTAAAAATAAGAGAACCTTTCTTTCTTGACTGTTTTATTGATATTTTTAATTAAACCCTTCAATCCAAGAGCGAACATCTGATTTCTCCAAATAAAAAAAAAAATGTGAAGCACACGGGTGATCAGAATAAACAAAACCATCAACTTGAGGATGTCTTGATTTACTGCAAAATTCTCCGAACTAATCTTCAACGAAATGTATGGAGTACATAGGAGAATTAAAATTCTGGTCTTGGATTGAAAGGATAAAGAAAACTTAAGCCGAGGAATACACAAGATGAAACAAGAAAACTAACTTAGGTTCACTAAACATGATGACAACTTATCATTTATACTAAGATAAAATGTTAACTATTGTACAATTTCAAGTTTTTCTTACTATTATTTTCCTTATCTCGTAAAACTCAGCTTCTAAAACGTGTCATGCATTTTTGCAGAACTGATAAAGTAATTCATTACAGCTTAGCTCCACCTAGGGACCTTCTCGTGGAGATATAGTGTTGGCGTGGTCCCCACCAACTTCGCAGAAGATTTACTGAAAGCATTTTTCTTCTCTATTTGCGCGCTTGTCTTATTCCACCCCAAGAAACCTCTGAGAGATCAGACCAGAAAACTTCACCTCTGATGACTTTTACATTTGTTCTTTTGCGCCTAAAGATACGTTTCTATGCAACCTTTCTACGAAATCTATTTTCAGTTAAAGGCGCGTTTCTAGGCAACCACGCAGTCGTTCTGGTGGGGTAGATGACTGACTCGTTTAGCAACAACTCTTGAAAAGTAAGTCATGGTACCAAATCTTCCACTCGGCGCAGTGTCGTAAAAATATCGACAGATTCCCGCCGCTCCACCACAGCTGATTTTCTCGTTCGCGGGACGCGCGCAACACGTGGTAGAATCACCTTTGATATTCATCTGAAATCACACGACACAAGGGTACCATAACCAAATGAAAACATTAACATTTACTATTACCGTTTGTAAAAAAGGCTTGCCAGATATAACGTCAAGAATTGCAACATAAAATAAATTTGAAGTCTATGAACACTGACCAATGGATAAGTTTGTTTCTTTGGCGGTGTAGGCGCAAAAGCAAAACAAAAATACAACACAAAAACAACCTCTAACGCGTGCTTTTGAGGGGAACGTTCTATCACGCGAGAAAACTCGCGCGTTCACCCAAGAACTCGCGTTTTATGTTTACTCTTGCTACTTTTCCTCTATCGTTTATCGAAAATAAATGGTAACTACGACAAATTGATAACAATGGGGAAATATAGTTATTACGGCAAGTTAGCCTGGGAGCAGGCTCTTCGCGCGGCCCTGCGAAGAGCCTGTTCGCAGGCAGCGGCAAGTATGAAAGGATTACTTTGACTGCTGAACAAGCTATTTCTTTTTACACAACATTAAATATGCCGCGATCATCTGTACAGCTGTACATATGTCTGGAGTTCCATATCGGCCATAAGCGTCCCAAAACGTTTTTGCTTTTCAAAGTTTGATTTAGGTTACGGTGATTAAAACAATTTGGTTTGGTTATCTCAACTTAAAATATTTCTTACCGTAAGATAAGATTGGGAACAACTCTACTTCTCTCATTCAAACTCTTCTTACTTACAACGAGGGTTGCACATAAGGCCACATTTATAATAATGCTAATAAGGAAAAGCCTCTACTATAATCCTGTCCATTCCTACCTGATCTTTCAGATATAAATTGTGGCCTTCCCACACCAAGTCATCAACATCAATAGTGTCTCCCAGAGTCTGTTCAGGGTGGTACTCCACTACAAGGGATAACACCATTAACATCTCCACCACCAGCTGCCGGTACTCAGGTTCAGGGATCCGATTCAGGGCCGCTTCAACGCAAAGCGCAAATTTCAGCTCGCCTGGGGTCATCTGAAAAAAAAAAAATGGAATCAGCGGTCGATTTAGAATAAGAAAGTTTATAAGAAAAAAAATAAAACAAATTTGTGGACCCATTTGTCTGTCTCGTTTTAATAACAACGGCTTCTTCAATCGTCGTTCACTTTACGGAGCGATGACAACGGACAAAACTTTAACAAGGATACCGGACACAAAATATATTTGAAATGTCTCATAGTGGATGTCTATATGAGCTTGTAATACTAGCGAAAAGGAAGCGCGTCGTCTCCATGTTCCTGCCACAATTCAAGGAGGGAACCTTGATCAGCAAGCCCTCAGAGGAGCCTAGAGTCAAAAGACGCAATAAATATCACTAGCAGTAAGTTGTATTGCGTACATACCTCTTGTACCATGGCATTCGGTAAATAGTGCTTGTAAATTTTCAAACCTCGGCACTACAACAAGAACAAAAAAACATACAAATCTATAAAACACAGTTAATGAAGAAAAAAGACCAAAAGTGCCTACAGCAGGGAGATCAGAGAGGATGGAGGGAGCGTTAGGCAAGTTCACAGACTTGAACCTGATCAAAAATTACTCCCAAACCTCAAACATTTAACCCGGTGTGAGCCACAGATAATTCAAAGCTGTCACTTAGGGCCGGCTGCCGGAGAGTTTCTCCGACTACTGTGAGTTCGACCCCAAGCTTATATAGGTGCAGTGTAATAAATCTTGTAGTTAACGCCGTGACGTTCTTGTGCTCAGATGATCAGGTGCTAAAGCGGGCTATAACCTTCCCTTATCACATTCGTCTTTTAAACATGTAAGCGCTCATACCTTTTCGAGAACCTTCCAGAATTTGGGGTAAAAATCCTCAGGGGCTCGGTTGAGGGCCCCATCAAGGCACCTCCTCCTGATCCACTGCCCGAGGCGGTCATCTCCTGAATGAGGGTCCTCTTCGTCGTCTTCTTTGGCTCTCTGATTTTCCTGGTTATTACGGTCAGATGATGGGAGCAATCCTCTGCCACTCATGTTCTAATTTTAACAACAATGTCGGGTATAAAATCA